ATTATTGTATTCGACTGTATTCACAACGTGAAATAGGGGATTACACTGTTTTTAAAACGGAAAGTGAATCAATTAACATAATAGATTCCTAATATAACTCAACAAACTCAATTATAACACACAAATTTTGTATTTTCAGTTATAAAAAAGATTCTCAACCGAAAAATACCCCAAAAACATAGCAATCTTCAGAGAAATTATAAAATACATGTGAATACATAAATTATATTAAATAAAAAAACATATGAATACATTCAAGGCATATTGTCACGACCCGGATTTCCCACCCTCGGGAGTCGTGATGGCGCCTACTATTAGGAGCTAGGCAAGCCAACTATTCATTATCTCTTTTAGCAAACATCGACATTAATAAAAATAACGAATCATTTAATAGAAAAACGGAAGTCTTAAATATAAATAAACGGAAAACAATGCGGAAGTTCAATACAACTCTACCCAGAACTGGAGTCACAAACTCACGAACGTCTAGAGAATGCTAAATATAATGTCTGAATAAAAACATAATTCTGTTTGTTCCGGTATAAAGGGTAACAAACTAAAGTAAAGATAGAAGAGACTCCGGGCCATGCGGATGCCAGCAAGGCTACCTCGGGATCTCTGGACTGAAGTCAGCTCCCAAAACTCCTACTGCTGTCCAAAAGCTGCTCCGACACCGTGATCTGTGCAAAAAGATGCACAGAGTGTAGCATCAGCACAACCGACCCCATGTGCTGGTAAGTGCCTGGCCTAACCCCGGCGAAGTAGTGACGAGGCTAGACCGGACTACCAAACAAACCTGTGCAGTTCAATATATATGTATGCAATATAAAGGTATACAGAAATTAACCAATAAAGGGGAAGGGGGAGCATGCTGTAGGGGCTGTAACAGTTCAGGTATAAAATCAATAATTGAGGAATGAAACAGTACAACTACAATAGCAACGATAGTAGGAAATCAACAGTTGCACGGCACCATCCTTCGTGCTTTTACTCTCATTCTCACCCAAACAATCGTATAAAGTGCACGACATCACCCTTCGTGCTTTACCTCCCAAAATGATGGCACGGAATGACCCTTCGTGCATTAGTAATCAAATCAGGGCACGGAATGTTCCTTCGTGCATTAATAATCATATCACAATCGTGCACGGCATCACCCTTCGTGCTTTATCCCTCGTCCTCACCAAAGAATAATCAAAAACAATGGGGCGAGGGGATAGACAAACAGTAATAGAAGTCCCGGCAAGGGAAACACAAGTAAACAATTAAATCCCGACAAGGGAACAACAATAATAACTTTCACATCCCGGCAAGGGAGGTAATCAATATACGAATACGGCCCGGCAAGGGAATAACCACACTTCTTTCTCTTTCTTTCTTTTCTTCTCAATAATTACTTTATCATTCAAGCCAACGCTCCAAAGAGTTCACAAATCATAATTCTTTCTCATACTCTTCACATTATATAGAGTTCATCAATTACAAGAGGAAGAGTCACAACAAAATAGGAATAAACACAATATACGGACTCACGGTCATGCTAGACACCAGTGTATAGATACTCGTCAACATGCCTATACACCGTACTCGGTCAATTAGCAAATAGCAAACAAGACTCAACTCCTATTCCCTCAAGTTAGGGTTAAACCAAACACTTACCTCAACTTCCACAGCTAAATCAATCCACAACGACCGCCTTCCCTCTCGAATTCGGCTCCAACTCAATCAAATCTATGAAATAACGACTTTATAATGCCTAAATATAGTTTTCTAAGCTTTCGTCCCAAAATTCCAAAAATCGACCCCGGACCCGCTTGGTCAAAACCCGAGGTTCGAACAATTCATATCACCCATTCCCCCACGAGCCCGGATATACAATTTGTTTTCGAATTCGACCCCAAAACGAGGTCTAAATCAAAGGAAACTGAAAGGCCCTAATTCTACCCATTTCCCCCAATTTCAACCCTAGATTACATGATTTGAGCTTAGCAATTTGATAATTAATGATGGAAAATGAAGAAACAAGTGGGAATTTACTAACCCAAGTGGTCTTGAAGAATGGGGGCTTCAATGGACTCCTAAATGCTTGAGGAAGAAGAGAGCTCGTGTGTTTTTGAATGAGACCCGTAGCTACTGTTTCCTGAAAACTTAAAAAAAATCACTGGGCAAAATTGCCCTTCGCGTTCGCGGGAACAGTGTCGCGTTCGCGAAGGGTACCTGGGCAAGGCATCGCGTTCGCGATTGGAATGATGCGAACGCGGAGAGAAAGCTGGGGGGGGGGTAGGTCCGAGGACGTTTGTCTATTGCGTAACGCGGGGACACCTGCGCGAACGCGATGAAGGGAGCCTTATGCACTACGCGAACGCGAGGATATAAGTGCGAACACGATGAGTAAAATGAAGGCTAAGTCTTCTGAGTCAAAATACTCTACGCGAACGCGAGGAGGTGATGCGAACGCGATGAAGGATGAAGCTGAAGCTTCGCGAACGCGAGAGGCATAGTGCGAACGCGAAGGAGAAAATCACTGTGCACCTGTTGCAGATTTTCTGCAATCTTCCTAAGTCCAAAACTACCCCGAACACCTCCGAAAACACTCCCGAGCCCTCGGGGCTCCTAACCAATCACACACACTAACTCGACAACATCCTACGAACTTAACCGTGCGATCAAATCGCCAAAATAACATCATAAATGTGGAATCAAACCTTAAAATCATCACTTTTTCTTCAAACTTCATAAACTTTCATTTCTAGATATTTAGGTCCGAAACACGTCAAATGACATCCGATTTCAACCAAATTTCACAGAAAGCGCTTAAACAACATATAAGACTTGTACCGGGCGCCGGAACCAAAATACGGTCCCGATACCAACACGTTCTAATCAATTTCCTTTTCAAATTTCCATATTAATTTCAGAAAAACAATTTCACAGAAAAATTCATTTCTCGGGCTCTAGACCTCGGAATTCGACTCCGGGCATATGCTCGAGTCTCATATTTTTCTACGGACCCTCCGGGACCGTCCAATCACGGTTCCGGGTACGTTTACCCAAAATATTGACCAAAGTCAACTTTAATCATATTAATATCAAAATTTAGCATTTTTCACACGGAGTTCATATTTAAGCTTTCCGGCTACGCGCCCAGACTGCGCACGCAAATTGAGGCGACTAAAAAATGAGGTTTTCAAGGCCTCGGAAGCGCGGAAAAGAGAGAAAACAGGTGATGACCCTTTGGGTCGTCACACATATAGTGAGACAGTGAATACAATGAAATACATAGAATACAGTGGGATACATTGAAAAAAAAAGATAGTGAATACAATAAAATACATGGAATACAACGAGATACATTGAATTACAATGAAAAAAAAGATAATAAATACAATGAAATACATGAAAATACATTGAAATATATTAACAGAAAATCAAGTTGCTCAGCCCGAACTCCGTCGTCTTTGTTCAAGAACAAACCCTAATTTCCGGCGAATCCGCCATTCACCGAAAGCCGGTAGTGAAAACGCGCCGCCTTGGTCCGGCGATGGTGCCGGAGCCGAGGTCACTTCCTGAGCAGAAGCAACCGCCGATAAGACCGCCACAATGGCAAAAAACAACGTCAAAGCCTTCAACGCCATATCTCAGAAGATGTAGAAATCACAAAAACTTATATCCTTCAATGACGAATTGATTGATAAAGACGAATTAACTTATATCCTTCAATGACGAATTAACAAAAAAACAACGTCAAAGCCTTCGAGCCTTCAATGGCGAATTCATAAAGAGAAAACTTACTGCTTTCATTATTGAATAGTGTATCAAAGTAGAGAGAGAAAGAAAATAGTGTAACTAAATAGCGTATTTAGTAGCTTAGGGGTAGGAGGTAACCAAAATTAAATATTTTGCTATAAACATTAAAAGGTATCTATAGAATATAATTTTTTTAAATAATATTTAATTAAAATAAATAAGGTGTTAACCTTTGCTATAGGAGGTAAAAATTTCTTTTATTTAATCTTACATATGTTTTCTACGAGTCTTTGTGTCCTACTAATTTGAGAGCTTCTAGTACTACTATTATTCCTCCTACTCTTCTTCTTTTTCTTCTTAGTATTATTATTGTTATTGTTTGTTATTATATTGGGCACAAGATGAGCTTAAGATGCATGGTAAGTGAAGATCCAAATAACTAATCTCTACTTGTTTTGGATTGAGAAGTATAGTTGCTTTATTCTTCTGGTTAAATGTGACGCTTCGAACGAATCTCACATCAATAAAATACGGAAGAGATACTAGGTATATACATAAACAAGCCTTAGACTCTAGTGACATGTTTTAAAATTATGCGGGTCTAGTCCTAAAACGAACAATATCACTAATGCATTGTGCTGTTACGTATGGTATTAGAGTCACTCCGTGTGCAACCTTGAAAGATGATGAGACAAACATCTGATCAACTGAGTTTAGGCGAATCTCAAATCTTTGAACAATAGTGGGGCAAACCTCAAAGATCAACTGAGTTTAGGCGAATCCCACATCTTTGAAAAGGTTGTGGGGAAAATGGCGAATCGCACCTCCAGCGTTTTAAAATCGTGAGGACCTAGGCCCAAAAACAGTCTCACTAATGAGCTGAATTGGTATATTAAATTAATTAAACTCGATAAAAAAATTCTGATGGGTAACTGGTATAAAATATTACCCTTTTTACTGCCTATTTTTTGCTTGTTTTAATTACTCCCATATTGGTTTCTTCAAGCTCTAAATAAAAGCCCGCTATACAGGTTTCCTGCATCTTCTCTTAAATCATGTTTGATAACTTGTTAAACCATTTTAAATTATCAAATTCAAACCACTTAATAGATAAATATTCATAATAAATATAATAAAAAAGTGGAAGTGAAAATTCATCTATTAATTGAATCCCACTAAAATATGTTTTTTTTGTAAACATGCAGTGACAGATGGAGAATGAATATAACAGCCGCGTACTCTCTTTCACCCAATAGGACTGTGTAAACCTAATCATTGCTGTGGGCACTTTTTAACTTTTAGCACACCTTTTTGATTGATCGCTCCCTCACTCCTTGTTGCGCAGTACAAACGACTGGTGAGGGACAAGATACTAATAATTTTCTTAATTACAAATGCATATTGAACCTTTAATTTTCATGTAGGAAATTCATCTAAGGCAGATGTCTTTAATTTGCTATTACAGGAATCAACTAATTAAGCTGGAATTAAGTACACTTATTCTAAAAGAAGAGTATCACTATATATATATAGTTGACATTTAACTTAGCCGTGAAGACCGGCAAGGCTGTTGATCAAAGCCAAGGCATTACTTGTCAAATGTGCAACTTCCAAAATCTTTCCCCTTACAACAGTCTTAGCTTTCCCGTTCATGACTTTTCCGGCAAACCCCTCAGTGCATGTATTCTCATCAGTCAAGGCAGCACTGACCCAAGTTTGAATATCATTCATTTTAAGGTCAAAATCTTTGCCCCATAGCTGCTTCATTTCCCCCAAAGACTTTCTCAGTTCATCGACTTTGTCACTTAGTTCCTCCACACAGTCATGCATGGCACCGACCTCTTTCGGAGTCAAGCCTTGGACGTGTGCCAACTTTAGCATCATAGCCGATGTTGATTGGGCAGTTTCGACACTGACGGTGAGGGATTCATGGGCAAGAAGTTGAGGGGAAACTCCAATAGCAGTTGCACGGCTTGATAATGAGCTGAAACAGAGGTTTGGATAAGTCGTTGACTTGCATGATGTTCTTATAAACTCTGTATTTGTATCTCCGGCGGCTGGTCTTGCTGCTGAAGCTGACTTCATGAATGAAGAAGAAGTGAAGGCAACTAAAATAAGAAAAACGGTGAGAATATGGCTACGGGTATAAGCACCTTCCATCTCTCTTTCTCTAATGAATAACCTTCTGTAATTTGTTTGTCTCTCTCAAACTAAAGTTAGTTCGAGTTATGATGAAATTGGGGTTGCAGTTGGTTTCTGAATTTATAGAAGGAGCTTGTGGGTAGGAGAGCTAGGGGATGAGCTAGTACAGTTTAAATGTAATGGCAAAAAGGTTAAATTTCCGCTGCTTCTTTGCCTTAGTTCATGTACGTGCATCTGGCGACATTCCTCGTAGGACCTAAGCTCTTGTTTGCATGGGGTCACAGGCATGGTAAAGGATAATTCAACTCAATGTATAGCTACTTAAAGACAATACACATCAGCATGCATAGGCCTACATGTAAGAATAACTGTCACTACTAAAGATGTGTGCGGATAACCATCTACTCCCTCCCTTTCAATTTATATAACACATTATTTTATTAGTCTGTTTCAAAAAATACATATTTTTATATTTAATTAACTTTAAAGTTTTCATTTACCTATATTATCCTCAATAAAAAGCTTTTATAGTCACACACATATTATGGCCCCATAAAGCTTTTATCTCTATGTTTTAAAGACTACAAATTTTAAAAATATTTTTTTTCTTAAATTTCATGATGAGTTAAACTGTGTCATATAAATTAAAATGGATGGAGTAATATAAGAGTAAAAGAAAAAATGGAATCAAGAGTTTGGTTGGCTTCGCTAAGGTCTTTGTCTTATTGGCAAATGTGCATGAATTAAGTCGAATGCAGAGTATCTTCTTTGATTAGGTAGTCAAAATGAGGACTAAAATTTGATAAAGGTTTTCTGTTGCTGGAAAAAGATCAGGATTTTGGGTGTCAGTTCTGTTATTTTACCTCCTATAGCAAAGGTATACACTTTATTTATTATAAACTAAAATTATTTTAAAATATTATTTTCTATAACTACCTTTTATATTTTATAGCAAAATAAGTATTATGGTATACACTACCATTAAGGCATGAAATATGCTATTTATGTTTTCCTCTCTCTTAGATAGCTGGACATACCTCTTTTTAAGGTGATTGTCCTTAATGTATTCATGAATACATGGCGCGAATACATGTGAATACATGCGCGTACAGCTGGACTGCCATGATTTTTAGGCGCTTTTTGCTGCTGTATTCACGAATACAGCAGCGCGAATACACTACTGTAGCAACTAATACGGCAGAGCGAATACAACGAATACACTATTGTAGCAACTAATACGACAACGCGAATACAGCAAATACACTACCGTAGCAACTGAATATTAACTATAGGAAGTAATTATGTATATAGTAGCTATAGGAAGTTAATAGCCACTAAACAATAGTGGTTTCTCAAAATTCCTCTATTTTTAATTATATTTATCATATTCTCTTGTTGAATGGCACTGAAAGATTGAAAGTGTCCAAAGAGTTTTCTTCATTTTTATTTTTATTTTTCTTCAAATAAGTGGAGCCCGTTATGAATATGATTGATTACCAATAATGAAGTAATATGGCCCAAAATAGTAAGAATACCAAAGAGTTTATATTTTTGTATTTAGTAGGGTGTAAATGATTTTGAAATTTAAGCAGTAATTCACCAGTCGGCCGCTTGAAGTATTTTATCCTCCAACATTTACATTATCCAACTTTATGTGACATATAAAGTCATATTTTTTAATGTTTTAGCAATATTTCTCGTCATAGACAACCCTGTGACTCTTAAATGTCCTATCTTCTAGTGTTCATGCATTGTCATTCTAGGAAGAGGACTTGAGATATTTCTAGGTCAATTTTTCTTTTTGAAAATGTCTGCCATGATAATAGGAATGTAATTCTTATACTAAACTGGGAATCGGAATTCGAAATCGAGACCATATCGTTATATCATTGATGTAATGTTTGGCTATTTCAATGAATACAGAGTGAAGTGCAGTTGAACTCTAACTTGCGAGGTAACAGAACTCCCTTAGATTAACAAGTGGAGTTTTTTCTAATTGTTCAGGGAAAACAATTTTTAAGTTCTAAATCACATTGGAGATTAGTATTACGAATTTAAATCCGGAAGAACGTTTTCTAAAATAATTCTTAATTTAAAGGATGGTTTGATTTTTTTCAGCTGTTATCTCCATTATATTTACAGGTTTACGTTTTTAGAAACTTCCAAGTACACAAGTTGGAAAGTTATAGCCGCCATTGATGGGCTTGCGGATAACTCTTAAACAAATAAAAAGGGATAACGATAAACTAGAGATGGGGTTTTTGGTTAGGGAATGAAAACTATATACTGATCCTCTTCTATTATTTAATTAACGAAATTTCGATAAATGATGGATATATATATGTCCACAGCAGCCTTTGACTAAAAGTTCAAACTTGTTAGTCTCGAATTGTTAGTTAATTAGCTATTCAAGTGACTTAATTTGACGTGAGCAAACCAAATTGGCTGCTATGTTGATTTGGCTGGCTCCTAATTAAATACTAAAACAGAATTCACGTCGGCAGTCAATAACGCCCCTATGGACCAAAAAGCCCTTTAATTTAATCAGCTCGGAATGCTGAATGGATCTATACTTTGTATATGCAAATCAAAAGGTTGCGTGTTTTCAGTTGACTTGAACTTGTGCCACTTTTGACACTTCTACCACTTTTATCAACTTCAGTTAGAGGGCAGTACGATTTCTTTCGAGAACTTCGTTAAGAAAATTGGCTGGCTGCATGTTATTCTTTCATATTCCTTCCTAATTAAACAAACTTGGTAAACATTTTTTTCCTTTTGGTAAATGGCATGAAATTTGAATCCTTTAACTACCTTTTCTGTCTCTTATACTCCTATACTAAATTTCTGCTAGAGAATGCATTCTTTTTTAATGGACTCACATGACACGAATTCTAATTAATCAGGTCAATAAGTAACGATACCAAATAATGGACTCACATGACTCAAATTCCAATTAATCAGCACATGTTTTCTACATCTTCTCTGAATTTGAGACACATGTGGAAATCAAAATACTCTTAGTATGTGATTCTGTGTTCAAAAGGGAATCTGCAGTATCAAGTGTCCTTACCGGGAAATATGACATTAACATCAATCAATTTTTGATCCAGACTAGAATATGGAATTTTCATATGGGAATTGAATTTCGTACATCACGGCTTTTGCTACTATTAAGGCCCTTCTGTTGCTGCTTTTGAGCGTTCAGATACTATTTTCACAGTTAGAAATAATAATTCAGATCACGTTCAGCTTGGATCTCCAAATTAAAGTTCAGCGCAAACTCCATTCTCGGAAATCAGTCTACATTTATCGTGTTCACATTTCACAAACAGAAACAAGCAGATGGAGACAACCAGAATAAAGCTAAGCTAAAGCATGATTCTTGATCCAAGGCAGAGACTATTTGCTTGAGATGAGAATCTCCTTACTCCTTTGCCCTTTTTTTTTTTTTTTTTTTTTTTGGCTTTTAATGTTGCTCAAACTGTCGTTGATCTACTCTGACCTTGAAAATACAAAAACTTCTACTGTTGTACAATGTGAACCTAACAATAGAACTTTTTAAATGTCAGAATTAATGAGAGGAATTAAGTTATATTCACTAACAGTTATTCCCTTCGGTCCACAATAAGTGATCATTTTACGTTTGGCACAACTATTAAGGAAATACGAACTCCTACAGAAAAAAGATGTTTTCACTAAATTCACCTTAATTAATTATTACCATGACATATTGGAATATGTAAATAAGGGCAAATTTTGGAAAAATAAAATTAATTCCTTCTTGATTATGTAAATGGCACTTATTTTGGACCAAAATAAAAAGGTAAAAATAGTCCCTTATTGTGAACCAAGGTAAGAACCCGTTTGGATGGGCTTTTTTTAAGTGACTTTTAAGCATAAGCCAATCAGTTAGGAATTTTAGCTTTTGGCTTATTATGTTATTTTAACTTAAAAACAAGTGCTTAAAAGCATTTCTTTTTATTTTATCCAAACGCTACAAAATAACATAAAAACTATTTTGGCTTAAAAGCACTTAAAATAAGCCAATCCAAACGGGCTCTAATTATTACACTATCAATATAGTTTCACTTGTGACGGTAGGTGAATTGCCATTTTTATTAGTTTATAATATATATAGAACTTGAACTCTTAACGAAAAATAAACGAAGGCGATACTTTATTGATGGAAGAAAACAGTCGGTTACAGTCGCCGGCCAGAAAGTTTTGGGCTTGCAATCCTTCGGCCATTCATCTTGGTGGATGTGTTTCTTAGAGATAGTAAATAATTGCTTATGTGGTATACACCTTCGCCCAAAAATTATAGTATTATGTATAGAGTAAAATATTACTTGTTATTGATTAGAAAAATAGACTTTGAACACCTTTGCTAGCTCACTAATAATTTTAGAACACCTTTTTTGAATGGGAAACTTACACAAATGTCTCAAATAAATCTCAACTTACCAACCTCTAGCCATTAGTCATAGACTTACCAAAACTAGCCAACAAAAATTGAAAAACCAAATAATAGGGTTCTTTCTCTCAAAGAATCACATGCAAAAATCACCTTCCATATTTTTAAGCGTGATTAGCAACATTAGATACAAGATGGAAAGGAAATTTTATGGACGGGGTAGCAAATAAGGTGATGAAATACAAAAATCTATACAATATTCCAAAAATCTAAACAAAAAGGAACTTTTTCAATGGGTATAGTTGAAATTCATTGAAAATATATAGATAAGTCAATATACAAAATTTGAGGAAGATTGGAGGTGATTTGGACTGGTTTTGTATCAAAATTCGTAATTAAATCGAGTTTAAAAAAGTCTTTACACATGTATCAAACATGTATCACGCATGTATCTCACACACAGGTATACATGGATATACATGTGATACACAATAGATACAAATATGATACATATGTGATACACAAATGATAGTGTGATACACATATCATTTTTTTCATGTTCAGCTTTTACTTCGAATTTTCAATTCAAACCACCTCAAAACTTCACCAAATCATCCCAAAATTGAGATTCAAGCTCCTTAAGTTGTGCCCAATCTATTCTAATAACACCCACTCAAAACAAAGCAAAAAATTGATATTTTTTTGCTACAAATAACTAATTGGCTAATTTAGCTAATATTAATAATATTTTATCAATTGACCAATTTTTATAATGAGCTACTTATAAATGGACATAGTTGGTAATTTCTCTTTTTTTCTGCCTCCGCCACCGGCCCTTCGTGTTTCACTTTTTATTCTCTCATTA